TGCATCCGTTATTCATATATTAAATCAGAAGGAATTGGAAAGTGCTTTCTAGCATTTAGGAATATCATTCATAGCTCCCAGTCTTCACCTTTGCTTGAAATAGCATATGTGTTTTTGTAGATTTATGCAGAAGCACACATGCAATTTCACACCTTTTCTTTCTTCATAGAATGCCCTCTCAAGTTTTTCTTGTGTCAAATACCTCTTCATTTCTAAGACCTGCTGCTAGCAGGTGTACCCTCCTCGATGAAACCTCTTTGGTCGTTATCACTGGATTGTTGCTTCCCTTCGTATTCTCAGAACAGTTTTATTTGTTAACCAGTAATCTCTTTCCATCTTTATAATTCACAGCTGGATGTTTGCTTCTCATCAACTGCTCAGTTTTTCAATTTTGTATTCTAGCATCTCACAGGATGCTGACCTATGTTGAGTATGCAGCAACTGTTAAATGAAGAAATGCATAGGACATGTAGCACCTGTGTTATTTAAGCACCTTGTCTTTTTCAAAAGTGTTCAAGATGGCTTAAAAGCAAAAAGAAAAGAAAAGAAAATTGGAAGAAAAAGGGAGGAGGATGGGAAATAAAATGGTGCCAAGGAATGAGCTAGTTCACACCATGAATCTTTGAGTGTGTGTGCAGCGTGAAGGAGAGTGCATTTGCATGGACAGGAAGCCTACATGTGGAGATTTTACAATACACATTTTAAAAATCTATCCTGTTTGATAGTTGCATCTTTTAAATTTTATTTTGGCCTTGGAAAGATTTCTTATTTTTCCAAGTTATATATTTTGCAGCAGTATATCATGTCTGAGGGATTTCTTTGAGGAGTGCTCCTTGGTCCTGAGACTTGAATGTAGTCAGCATGTGGTAAGATGAGGCAGTCTCAGTCCCACTGCTACAAAAATAGGAATCTGTCCTTGGCTGCATGTGGCGCCCTTTGTCTCCTGGAGATGCATGTTCTGATTCCTGTTACCTGTTCTCTTCTGGAAAGCACCATGCCATGGGTAGGAAAGTGAGAAAGCTAACTTGAAATAATGACTTTTTCTTGGAATATGTATGCTTTAAATTAAATTAGCTAAAAAGTACCTACGAATTATAGCTTGCTCTTTGGGTGCCAAAGTTAAATAAATGGGCATATTAAAATTGCATTATTCTCTTGCTCTTAGCATTGCAAATATGTAAATCTAAGAGGAGGTTTTTTTGGGGTTGTTCTTAATATATAACTCTGCCTGAGTCTTAGTCTCAGCATGAGACTAAACTAGAAACTAAAGCTGTGTTGTTGCCTTAATTAATTGATAAAATAAAGAGGCTTTATTATTCTGGGTAATTTATTTAAGACAACAAAGTGGTTAGTCACTTACTGGCAGATTTACAAAGGAGTTGGGCCAATATGCCAGCCCATTTCTCTTGGTCTGCCAGCCCTTAGAGTCCTACATTCCAGGGATTTGTTAATCACCAGCTGGCAACTGATTTACAAGGCAGGAAAGACAGGACTTTTGAATGGCGGCCACTGACTCACAAGCAAGATGGAATGTGTACTGGCTTCAAGCCTTGTCTACTGGCTTGCGGATCTTGCTTCCAGGGGAAAGAGGCCTTGATGGTGGCAAAGAGTCCATGTGCTACCTTTGGTATGTTTGCCAGATGTCTTCAGTATTGTTCTTGACTCTCACTTTTGGTTTGGCAAGTGAGAACTGTCAACTAGAATATACTACTCCAGGTAAATATGTCTGTCTCCATGCCTGTCCATTTGTTTGCCTGCCTGTCCATCTGTCCATCCATCTATCTGCCCATCCTTCCAACCAACCAACCAACTGACCAACCGACACCGACTGACCAACCAGCCAACCAACCCATCAGCCGGTACTGGATTTAAGCTACCAATGAATGGGTGGAATTAATCTCTGAAAGCATTGTGTACAATTGGGGCCAGCAACCTTTTTCTCCAAAGGAGTGGATAGTAAATATTTGCAGACCATACTATCTCTGTTGTAGCTACTTAGCCCTGCCATTGTAGGGTGGAAGCAGTCACCAGTACTGTAAATGAACGCTGAGGCTGTGATTTAGTGAAGTGCTGTTTACAAAGGCATGGACTTGCCAGCTGCAGTTTGCCTATGCCTGGTTTAGACAGTGGAAGTGTCTGACTCAACACAGTTTGAGTGCGACACAAAAACTTCGAATACTTTAATGCTTATATGTTTTCTAACACTGCTTTCTGTTCCAGGTTTGTTGACTTAACTGGTATCTGCTTTGAGATTTTACCAAAAAAGTAATTTCACAGTTTTCTTTTATTATTATTATTATTGTTTATTATTTATTTTTATTTTTTATAACATATTTTTTACTTTAAAATTGTGGGGTACATTTAAGAGTTAAGTATACAAATATGCATTGTGCAGGTACCCTTGTTGACGAGGTGTGACCCCGTCCCCAGACAGACATTGACTACCTTTAATCCCACCTCCCTGCCCCTCCCTGCCCCCCCCATGGTTTCCTGCCACTGTCAATCTTTTTCTTATAGTAATATGGTAGTTATTCAAGGTCCACTTATGAGTGAGAACATGGGATGCTCAGATCTTTGTTTCTGTGAGAGATCACTCAGTATTATAAACTCTAATTCCATCCAGGTTGCTGCGAAATTCATGATTTTGTTCTTTTTTATAGCTGTGTAATATTCCATTGTGTATATGTACCACATTTTTTAAATCCAGTCCTCTTTTGATGGACAGCATGGTTGGTTCCATTTAACCGTATTAATCATTTATAGAATGTTTCTCTCTCTCTGGCACTGATTACAGAAATGCCGTGGGATTGGAAATATACCAAAAAACCCCAAAAACCCAAGGAGTAAAATTCCTCACCACATCACCCATAAGAACCCCATTAAATTTAATAGTTTTTACTCCAATATGGTTTTAGAAACTGTATCTTGATGTGGAAACTTGGTCAAGATTCACCGCTAAGTGAAAACCCTGTAGATTGTAGAAGAGTTCTCAACAGTGTCCACCATGTGATTCTGTTTGTGAAAAGAAAAAAAGTCTACGTATATGCATCCTTGCAGGTTGTAAACATCTGAAGAGATTCTGAATCTGTCAGAGTTCTTAGTTTTCAAGCAAATGAAATAAACTCTGTCCAGTATAAGTAGAAAGATTTATTGAAGGATAATAAACAGTTCACAGATCTCTGGGGTCCCTGAGAACCAGGTTTAGAGGCCATCCATCTAGATGCAATGGGCAAAATATTAATAACTGCTGTTAATAGCTACTTCTGCAAAGATGCCAGGCAACTGTCCCTGGGGGCACGATGCAGTGATCTCAACTGTTGATGCCAGGGAACGTGGGTGCTGGATTCGTCTCCCCTGTTCCCAGCGTTCTGCAGTGACTCGGGCCAGTTGCTGCTTTTTTGTGGCATCGGCTTCCAATCCAGAGTGTCCTGTGGGCGCACTGGGTTGGTGGAGCCCAAGTTCATGCCTGAGCTGTCAGGGGAGCTGGGAGAGTGAGGAGGTGGGACTCACTTTGTCATGGGCAGAGGGCCCTGCCTCATCAGGTAGGGGAGGTACTCCGTGTAGGAAGAGGATTCAGAAGCTTGGATACCCGGGGGTGTGAGAGCTATCCATGGCAGACACTCAGGGGATTGTGGGTGTTGATCACTTGTGGCTAGTGGAGCTGGCTGGGCACAGAGGGAGGCTTTTACCTTCATTTTACTCTTCTGGCTTTTTGAATTAAAAAAAAAAAAAGTATTGTTGTATGACAGTCCCATGAGAAAGACCGGGGGAAAATAAATAGAAGGGAGTCATGATTTTTCCCGGCACTTCCACAGATGGTATTCTTGCATAAAAGCTCAAGCAAGCTCCCAGCATAACTGGCCAAAATTTCACCAACTCCCTACTCAGTTTCATTTTAAAACTTACCTTAAAATTTTCTTTCAGATCCAGTCACCTCTTGTGTTGTATACTTGGTTGAGCAGATCAGTCATGAAATGGTTTTTCCTTGGGGACCAGTGTCTCATTCTTCCTTTTGCTTGTGGAGCTGATTCCATCGATCTTTCAGGGGTCGGTAGTAATCAGCTTTGAAAATTAAGATGTCATTAGCCGCTGTGGCTGACGGAGTGTTCATAGGTGGAAGGAGCAAAAACAACATGTACTTCGGTAGTTGGTCGTGCCACTTGTTTTTTCCTGTTTCTCAAAGCCCCATAAATTCACTGCTTGTTAGAAAACGGATTTGAGAGCTTACTTCAGTCCAATAAAATCTTAGCACGTGTGTTAACAACTGCAAAAATCTTTTGAAGAAGAATTTTAGATTCATATAAAAAGTGTGAAGACAATACAGGGAGTTCTCATATACTAGGTTCTCAATGTGCCCTGTAATTAACACGTTACGTTACTGTGGTCCAGTTATTGCAATTGATTACTGGCATTGATACATTTTTATTAACCAAAGTCCACGCTTCATTAAGACTTCCTTAGCTTCTGATCAAAGTTTTCTTGTTGATAGCTGATCTGTTTTCTACCTTTATACTGTACTTGTGCATCTCTATAGTAGTGATACGGAGCTGTTACTGTAAGTGCTATTTCGGTTTTGTTTTGTTTTTTTTGAGTTGGAGTCTCACTCTATTGCTCAGACCGGGAGCGGCCACTGCAGCCTCGACCTGCTGGGCTCCAGCGATCCTTCCGCCTCAGCCTTCCGAGTAGTCGGAATTACAGGCATGTGCTACCATACCCGGCTGATTTTTTAATTTTATTGTAGAGATGAGGTCTTGCCAAGTTGTGTCCGCAGGTCTTGAACCCGCAAGCTCAGGCAATCCACTCACCTCAGCCTCCCAAAGGCGCGGGATTACAGGCTGAGCCACCGAGCCTGGCTGCTATTTCTGTTTTAAATAACCTGTAGAGTTTAGGGGAAGGAGTGAATGAAGTAAAGCTTTGCTCGTGATGTTCTTGTATTTCTTTATTTACAACCATCACACACCAAATAATTAACCTTCCATTTTTTCCCTGTTGTGATTCAGTGGAACAAGTTCCAGTTGAGCCGTACAATATCCCACTGTCGCAGGCTGAAGTCATCCAGGAGGGGAGTGACATCACTCTTGTTGCCTGGGGCACTCAGGTTAGTGACACTGACCCCTGCCCACTGGTAAAGCCTGTCTCGTTCTTGGAGACTGTCGTATTTAATCTTTACTTAAGAAGACTTGAAAACAGTGTCTCCTTTTTCTTTCTTTCTTTTTTTCCCTTTTCGAATTGGGGTCTCACTCTGTTACCCAGGCTGGAGTGCAACATCGTGATCATGGCTCACCGCAGCCTCAGCCACCTGGACTGAGGACGTCCACTGGCCTCAGCCTCCTGAGTAGCTGGGACTACAAGTATGTGCCACCACACACGGCTAATTTTCTAAAAAATTTTCTGTAGAGGTGAGATCTTGCAATGTTGCCCAGGCTGGTTTTGAGCTCCTGGGCTCAAACAGTTCTCCCACCTGGGCCTCCCAAAGTGCTGGGATTATAGGCCTGAGCCGTCATGGCTGCCGTTGTTTTGTTTTTTTTTTTTTGTCTCAGATTAAGTGCTTTATGGGTCAGACTGGTGCTGCTGATGCTGATTTCTTTCCCCCCCACCTTTTGGAGATGTAATTGACAAATAAAAGTTATATGTATCCAAAGTATACCATGTGATGATTTGATGAATGCATACCTTGTGAAATGATTATCACGGTTGTATGTACTCAAAACTAGAAGTTAGGGTACTGATTTCTGGGTGAAGGTAAGCTGTCTGTTTATTCATATTAAAGTCTGTAATCATATGGTGAAGTCATTGAAAAATATGTTACAAAACATAAAAATATTACAAGAAGGTATTTATCGCAACACTTTTCTTTTGAAGCCCACATTAAGTGGCCGCTCAGGACTCGTGATCTCTTTTTCATCCTGTTTCCTCCCAGCTCTGGGGATGACTTTGCTGGCCATGTGGACCCGGCCAGGGATCCAGCCTCAGAATCCCATGTCGTTCCCTTTTCCAGGCACCCTCCGCTCTCCTCAGGGCCTGTTGTCGTGTTGCTCTAGCTTCAGACGTTACAGCAGAGGTCTTTTTCTCAGGCCTTCTGTCTCTCAGCACTTCTCTCTCTCCTTCTTTAAAAGAAATGATCAGTTTTTCTTTTTCTGTACAAAGGAAACACTTGCATAGTATAAAGAAGGGAGCAAAGATGTTTGCGCTCTCGCAAGCTCTGGCAGGTTTCTGCTTGGGGCCACGTGGTGCTGGGCCAGTCAAGTCCCACTGGCGCTGCCCAGGCTGGTGATGGCAAGTCTTTTTGGCTCGCCTCCAGTCCACCTTGTAATTTGCATCTCTGCCCCCCAAGCAGATGGCCTTGCTTTCAACAGGGATGTTAGAGGGTCTCAGGTGTTAGCTGGCCTCGCTCGCTCCTCTTCGGCCTAGTACCTCTGTTGCGAGTCCTTTTCTTCTTCCCCTCGTCTCTGAAGAAGAGGTGTTTCCGCAGCTGCTTCTTCAGATCTGCTGGAGGCTCGGGCTGCCTCCCATTCACCTTCTCCAGGCTACGATTCCTTGGCAAGCTCCTCTCCTGTGTCCTCCTCATGCTCTAAAGTACACCTTTCCCCTCTGGTACCGTCACATCCCTCCTCTGTCAGCTGTATCTTCAATTCCTTAGCTCCTGTGTGTTCTGGTATCTTATGAGTTCTGTTCCCACTGCTTTACCTAAACCGGGGTTGTTCACACCACAGATCTTCTGATCGTTAAACCCAGCCCTCATTAGAAACCCAGCCCTCATGCCATACTGCTATGGTGTGTGATACCACCTACTACCTCCGAGAAACCTTTTCTTCAGCTTGCGGAATAAGCTGATTCGTGGTTTTCTTTCTATTTATTTAATCTCTCTCTCTCCCTCTCCTCTCTCTCTCTCCTTCTCCCTCTCCCTCCCTTTTCTCTTTCTTTCCCTCTTTCTTTCAGTGAGCCTTTCTTCCTCCATTTCCTCCCTTAAATGTTGATGCTCTTCTGGGTTCCATGATGGTTTGCCCTTTCCTTCTCGGCCTCCGTGCTTCCCCTAGAAACTCTTCCTACTCCTGTGACTGTATTTACCTTCTGGGTACTGTCTTTGTGATCAATATCTCTAACCCTGACTTCTCTACCCTTTTCTAAGAACCTCTTTTCACTTTTTTGCAAAAACATGCATCCATATGTGATTATTTTGGCAGAATAGGTGGTCAACATGTTTAAAGCAAATTTGGGAATGAGCCATGCATGCAGATCATTTCCTCTGACTTCTGTCAGTGATGCCAGAATTCACCTAGTTTTTCGGGTCTGCGCATTTGTAGCATTCTTGCATGTTGCTCTCCTCATTCCAGGTTCATGTGGTTCGGGAAGTGGCTTCCATGGCAAAAGAAAAGCTCGGTGTGTCTTGTGAAGTCATCGATCTGAGGACCATATTACCTTGGGATGTGGATACAGTTTGTAAGGTATGAATATGATTTTTTAGGATTTTAAATAAGGAATGCTTCATGAATTTTGTGTGTCATCCTTGCGCAGGGGCCATGCTAATCTTCTCTGTGTCATTCCAATTTTGGTATATGTGCTGCTGAACATGGAACATTATTTCCTCAAAACTTCGGGACAGATTTGTTGGGTACTCACAAAAAACGGCCTTAGCATTTTCAACTGACCTAGAACTTTTAAAACTTGCAGCATGAAAGGAAGAGGGTGCTGGATATCAGTTTAACGCTTAAGGACACATATTGCTTTAGTGTTTCTCTTTCCTCCTGGAGTTTTCTCTGCTCGAAATATCATGAAACTGTCCTTCATGCGATCAGCTTTGCTTGAGTTGTGGGAGCGATAGAGCATATCAGGGATGTTGAAGGTGCCTGTGTTTTGATCATGTTGGTTAGGGTTCAGTAGGCGAGGTTTAATTTAGTCATCTTCTCTCTAGAAGTGATGAGGACGGATTTTTGTTTTTTTTAAATAACCTCTCTTTACGTAGCCTCAGTACTGCGGATCACAATTTGAACATGGCATTGTAGGGTTCCTGTTGCCCTGATTTATGCTTTCTAAATAGTCTCTTTACCTTTGGCCTGATTAGATTGAACTCGTTTTTACTTTTAATAGGATTCACATAGTTGCCTCCCTCTTAAGAATATAGTTTAGTGCTTATTTACCTGTCTATAATCATTATCCTTAATATTGATGTCTAGATAATTTAAAGAGCATCTGTTCCCATATTGGTACGTAAGGAAGGCTAAATTCTTTTTTTGTAATCGTCTTATCTATTAAAGTCTAGGGAATAATTGCATGTATTACTTTTTATTGATTTACTGCTATAGCAAATAAGTCCTGAGACCTAGGGTATTATTTTATCTTAATTTTTTTAGATCTTTGACATTTTCTTAACTTTTTATGGGTTAGGTTAGTTACATGAAAATCTACAGATACTACTGCTGTAAAAGTGTAGCATACGGTGTTTTTAGGTGAAAATTATTGGGTAATTTAGTAGCAGATTTAGGATTTGTTATAGTAAATGTTTCCGAAGACTCACTTGATGCCATCTAAACACTTGACATGGTTACCAGTGGTTTCAACCATTCTAAGCTTTTGTATTTGTAGTTTTCATAATTAAGAGCCATATTTTAGATTGAATTATGCATAACTACGTGGGAATAATTTAAAGCCTTTTGTAGGAGTTTTCAAATCCGGTCAGATACTGGGTTTTCTTTCCAATAGCTAACTGTCCCCAAATGCTGTCAAGTTGAAAGTAACACAGTAACCCCAAATCTGAGTTCCAGCAGGGAAAGACGTGGGCTTATGAAAGCTCAGGGAGGTACAGTGGCAGCTCAGACAGTGGCAGGGCAGGAAGGCCAGCCATTTTATAGGCAAGCAAATTAATGAATCAAATTCCTGTCTGGTGTGTACAGATGTTTTCAGCTCTGCTTGGTTGCCTGCACCCCAGGACTCATTACCGGGACTATACATACCCTTCAGAGACCAGCCTTGGCCAGAGGGTGCTCCCAGAGGGAAGGGGCAGGAAGAAGCCAGGTATGGGGGAAACAGTCCTTGTCGGGACAATACGTTATACAGGAGCTGGCTGCTTGTTCAAAACCGTCTCCCCCACCTATCCTGGACGGTGCCTCTGTCTGGGGGTATGATGGTTGTCTTGTCATGGTGCAATGGGGGTTGCTGATACAGGGTCAGGGCAAGCACTTTAGAACTTTATTGACATTTGTATGTCGTCAACATTCAAAAAGATTGATAGTGTTTACGGTGAAACATAGTAACACCTCAATTTGTAATCATGAAAACAAGGAGAGGAGAGGTAGAAGAAGAAAGAAGGGGGAAATTGTTTCTTTCGATACCAGCCTGCTTTTGCACCCCTGTGTTAAATCCGTCGGTGGCATCTTCGTGTGATGTGGTGTGTAGATCGGGGTCCCTTAGGACTCTGTCTTGCTGGTAAGGACAAAAGGGGAGACTTGAGACCAGTGCTGAGTGGGGAGTGATCATTAAGCCCCTGACTTGTTAGCATCATTATCTGAGCTTGGTGAGGGATGCTTTCATCATGTTGTTTTTCCATTTGTGAGGGCAAAAGCCAGCTCCTCCTTTCTAATGGTCACTTTCAGTCTATTCGTGACTTTCTTCATTGCTGAACCTGGCCTATCTCCTGTTTCCTTTAATGTATCAAAAGAGAAACATTTTGATGCTTAGCCTTTCCCTCCTAGGATTTAGAGATGGTTTTGAAAAAGAGCTAAATATCGATACTGAAAATGAGGGCTTTTTTGGTTTGTTCTCTTAACCTTTTTTCTTTCATATTCATGAATTCTGTGGTAATCAAAATGTATGTTTATGATCTCAGTTGTTTTGTGTTTGTATTTATTTGTCTTATAGCAAAGTGGATCCCTTGGCTTTATTTATTATGTGTTAAACTCAACGCCAGTATGCGTCTTTTGAAATGCTTCATCAAGAAAAGACTATTAAATATACAAATGATGTATCGAACACATACATTAGCGTACTCTACACAGTAAGATGGCTCTGGGACATTTGAGGAATTCATACTTTTTGCCGAGGCCATTTTGCATTGTTTGGGAGTTATAAATAGACAAAAGAAGTTGCTTGGAAAGCGAGAAAGCACAGAGTTATGGAATGTTGTCACAAAGCCAGACACATGATTGGGCCTAAAACCCACACCTAGTTTTCTGCACTCAATTCTGAACCTGATAGTAAAGAGATAAGCTGGAAGTCTCTGGAAGGCAGAGAAAATTCTTGAGTTTTGAGGTGCTTAAGAGACAGCAACCTGCCTTGGGGCATGGGTTTGTGAAGGGGATGGAGTGGCTTAAGAAAATCAGCAGCGAGAGTTCAGAGCCCTAACACGAGTGGTCAGTGGACACCGATGATCTGCAGCTGCTTTTTCCTTGTGACATCTGTTACTTTGGTCTAAACTGGAAGCTGAGAATCCAGGTGTGTAGAACCCACGTTTTGGAGGGCTGTAATGACAGAATTGAAATTTCAAGAGGATTTAAACACACAGGTGGCCCTTCTCTCAAGAGATTTGCCAAATTTTGCGTGTGGTGGGAGGTAAGCAGAAAATATCTCCAAAGTGAAGCTATTGCTTGATGATGAGGCAACCAAGACCAGTCCTACTCTCAACTGAAAGCTATGGAGAGTCAGTTCTTATGTTTAGAGGCAAAGCAGAAGCAGATCAGGTGATCCCAAACCCACAACATAGCCTTTAACCCTCCGAGTTCCTTGTTGCGTTAATGTAATTTACCTTCTGCTCTGTCTGCCCAGCAGAGCGCGGACTCAATATTATTATCTGGAACTTCTATGAACCACCATTCAATAAAAAAAAGACTAAGTTTTTGAAGACACAGGAATATTTGTCAGTAACCAAGAGAAAACACCACAGAAAGCAGAAGCACAGTTGACCCGGGTACTGGAGTTAACAAGCAAGGACTGCGGTCTGGAACATTTGAATTCCTCCGATGTCCCAGAGCCATTTTACTGTGTAGAGTATGCTAATTCATGTGTTCAGTAAATCATTTGTATATTTAATAAACTTTTCTTGATGAAGCATCCCAAAAGACGCATACTGGCGTTAACACAATAAATAAAGCCGAGAGATCCACTTTGCTATAAGACAAATAAATACAAACACTACAACACAGGAACAAAAGAGGTAACAGGGTAGAGAATTACCCTAGAGAACTGGGGGGTGTGTGTGTGTGTATGTGTGTGTGTGTGTGTGTGTGTGTGTGTGTGTGTGTGTGTGGTATGGATCAAATAAACTTTATAGAACCATCAAAAAGTATATACCTGACAATAAGAACTCAATGATGGGTTTACAAAACAGGTGACTCCGTTGGCAGTAGTGATAATCAACTAGAAGGCAAGTTCATGGAAGGTGTCCGTGCTGAAGCACACAGAGACAAAAACAGCAGAGTGAATCAGAAAAGAGCATAAGACATGTTTGGGATCCAGCCAAAAGATCTGTCTCACACACAGTTTGAATTCCAGAAGAGGCGGCTAGAGAAAATTGGTTAGAAACAATATCCAAAATAATATTTCTCATGAAAGTTTCAGAACATCAACCTACATAATACAGAAATTTGTCAAACCTCTAAGAAGAATACATTCAAAGGAAACCACAATGACACTATGGAATGACATCTTCAGTTGCTGACTATACCAAGTTAGAATTCCATGCCCAGCGAAAACATCCTTTTAGATAAAAATAAAATAAAATTGGTTTAGATAAATAGAAAGGGGAATAATTTATCACCAGCAGCCTTTCCCTAAAATAAAATAACTCAAGGGAGTTCCTCAGCCAGAAGGAAAATGATCCTAGAAGGAAATATGGAAGTGGGGCGTGCATAAAACATAGCTCCGTACTGGTTGTCCAAAACTGTGCTGATAGTTTTCTGTGGAGTTTATGGAATCAAAGTGTACGGCTATAAAAATACAAAAGCGGGGATGGGGATTACATGGTGTTAAAATATCCACTTGTTCCAGGGTTATTAGGGAAGTGTAACATTTTTATTAGGCTATAATCAAGTATGCGTGTTATAATCTCTACTGTAACAACTGACATATTAGCGAAGTAACGCATATGTAGCAAGTTAATAAGAGCTATAAATTAATACAAATATTAGTCTGAAACAAAAAAAAGAAACGCATGCAAGAAGTGAGTAGTAAGATGATAGATATAACCCAAATATATAAGTAATTAAATACAAAAGGATTAAATAAACCTAATAAAAGCTTAAGATTCTCAGACTTCATTAAAAACCACCACCACCACCACCAAATGTATTTTAAAAGAGCCATACTTTGAATATAAGAACACCAAAATGTTGAAAATACAGAGATGGAAAAAGAAAGCTGTATACTTACACTAATTTCATATAAAACTTTACAGCAAGGATTGCTAGGAACATTTCATAATGCTTTACAGGGATCAATCCACCGTGATGATATT